GACGGAGAGGGGAGGGGTAAGGGGGCGGAGGGGAATTAGAAGGAGAAGTGGAGAGATTCCTAATTTAAGAATGAAAAAACCCTTGGCTAGTTATCCTGGTTAAACCAGGAAGCATTCTTAGCTGTTCTTAATGCTCAAACTGATCAATCTTTAAAGACTAGAAACAATTGGGCAAGGTTTAAAAAGATATCTTTCGTTCTCAAACCAGGCTGATTGTCTGAAAGACGGTACTAAGAATGAGGAGGGCGGGGGGAGGTGGTGGTACCGCAAATTACAGTGCCCAGCCTTGTTTTGGTTCAAATCTCATCCCTAGTGGCTCAGTGTTTTTACAAATTGAAACACCTAATGAATAAAGAGCAGTTTCATCTTTTCCTCTCAGTGTGCATGTCATTTCACCGACAACAAAAACCGCTGGGCAAGGAAACTGGCAGAATTTAATCACGAAACCATGTGGAAATTGGTAGCTAGCACTTAAACTCATCCCCAGGGAGCGTTTCTTGAAGACGCAAACAACGGGCCATGTGTAGCAGACTAAGTTAGGCCCGGAAGTGAAAAAAAAAACTGATTCTAGGTGTCAACTGAGGTTTACTAATTCAGAATTGTATTTGTCCATTTCAAAAAGCAGGATCTATTTATCGAATCATAGAGTCGCACTACTCTAAAAAAAGAGAAATCCCGCTCCCATTTTCAAATTTATTCATCCCTTTCCCAGTGGTTAAAAATGCCAGTCCCGCTTCAGGACCCTCGTAGAAAGTCTGTGTAACCTCAGGCTCCTCGGTAAACTTTGCAAACCTGGCTAACCCTAGCACGTGTTTTACAGGACCAAGGCTGCGAAAGGCACAGATTCAAGGATGTTTAAATTGATAATTTATTTCATTCTATTTTCTGATTCATGCTTGAACTTCATTCAATATTACAATCAGTCTTAATTTGTGTCATATCTTTTCAGTAGTATTTACAAGCGTACAAAGGTTAAAATGCACCAACACTTTCTTTCTACAAACATTAAAACTAGATGAATGTATTATGCACACATGCGACATTTGATAACAAACTAGTATTTATTATTGGTAGGATAAATTACGTACTTCCTTGGTCCTACTCCCGCTGCGATTCGCAGAATTTGTGTTAGTATATACTATAATATGCATAGTATATTATACTTTTTTACCGGGCGTGCTTAAGAAAATTTCAGGGCAGGCTCCGCCAGGAAGTACAGCCTCTTATCCTTTTATTTATTATTTATGACAAAAAAGATACCCCTTTCATATACCTTCTTTTAACAAACGGTACCGCTTTCGCTTACCTAGTTATAACTTTGCATCACTTCAAACTGCTGTAAATGCACTTTTTTAACATATAAGTAAATCACAAAACCAGTTTTATCTACTTAATCACTGCCTAAAAATGCATCTGTAAGCCCTTTTGGGCCTTTGTGCAGACCAAAATGACAGATTTCTTGACCTTTCATATACTTGAACTATTATTCCCCGCCCTTTCTGTAATTGAAGCCTAAAATAGATACCCCTTTCGGGTGAAGACTCCCCGTAAAAGCCATTATAGGGAGCACTCCCAGGCTTGGTCATCGCAAGAATGGGCTGATTTATGATACTATGGGGGCCGATTACCATTAAGTGTTTATAATACGAATAGATAGATTGATTGATTGATAAATAGATAGTGACTTTATTTAGCGAGGGTAGCACATAACGGTATTAAAAAATTAATAATCCAGTGGCCCTCGAATGAAAATTTTGTTCATACCAACGTCCTAAGCCTATATCATTCCACTATATTTTATAATCTCACTGCAGAAAAACCGAGATCGGACTTATTCGCCTAGTCCCTCGTGGAAAAACAAAAAGGCACAATTCTGCTTGCAACTTACAGGAACTCGACCTAAATGAACGCAGCTTATTGCTAAGTCGGTTGAATAGGTCGCGACAAAAGGTCTCCATCTTCTGATCAAATTCCGGAAGTCCGTCAAAGGGTAAATGATAACACTCTTTCAAAACGTTACTTCGATTTTAATTACATTTTGCAAAGTCAAAAATAGCTTGTTGCAAAGTCAGAAATAGCTTGAGGGTGCCGTTAATTCGATGTGCTGATCACCAGTTGGTATCGGCAGCAAGAAGTTGTAATAATCTGTAATCCGGCTGCATTTATGGCAAAGTGACACTTGTCAAAGCAAATCTCATTATTTCTAAAGTTGTTTTTCGTCGAAGTACTTACAAACACCCCCGATAATTAGCGACGACCACCCGAAAGTATTGAAAAATGCTTATTGGTGCATCACATGCCGTTCTTTCTGTAATCTCATTATTTCTAAAGTTGTTTTTCGTCGAAGTACTTACAAACACCCCCGATAACTAGCGAAGACCACCCGAAAGTATTGAAAAGTGCTTATTGCTGCATTACGCGCCGTTAAGCCGAATCCACGCGGGGTGATAAAGGAACCTGATCATAAAAACGTCTTGCTGCATAAGCGTAGTTATTCTTCATCTAAGCCAACTTGGGCGTCCCCCTTGGTATGAAGGACCTTTTCAAGGCACCCACGCCACAACTCCTATCAGGACACTCCAGAGCACAACATTATCAGCACAAATCTTCGGATATCCACTTAAAGAAATGTCATTCATCTTTGGCCGTTGTCCAGTGCGCTTTACCAATGTACGGATGAAGGCCACAGCAGCGCCTAGGACAGACTTGTGCGGATTTCTTAAAACAGATTGGAAGACTGCTCAAAGCATTTGTGGCAAGCATAATCAATATCACAGGGGTACGCAACGATGGCTTTCCTCCTAAGTACATTGAAAACACTTTTTAAGCTATCCACAGTACGTTTAGACCTCTAAAAATGCATTCTAAGCGGCGCTATAAAATTTGTACCTGTTCGGTCTTCCTAGGGGAACTTAGATGCAATTGAATTAATTTAATGCGAAAGTGAGAATTTTGTCTGATTCCTCTCTCTATCACATTTTTGAATCCAAAAATTTTAGGTTTCCTTTTTTGTATAAATTAAATAGCTAGAATAACCTGGGCGGTAAAATGTGAAAAATAAAACTTCAGAAAATCGTAGCAAATTTATTATATATTAAGTTTCGAAAATTGTACATGAATGGAACGGTGACCTACAAATTTTTAGCGGTCCTCAAGTAATAGAGAATTCTAGGCAGTATTTGCTTCTCCGAACAGATATTTTAAAGAAAAAAGTCGTTGGGTGCTCCTGATATCGGTTTTCGCGGAAATGTTGCAATCTGATCTCACTGAGTAAAGCAGAAAGTTTATTAAGGATGACACAGAGGCTATGGAACTTTCTTGATCATGCATTTTCAAAATAGTAAGCTGCGTTTCAAGACGGTCCCTGTACTGTCGCAATTTGTAATAATCATCGCACTTTGTAATACCTGTCGCAATTTGTAATAAATCCATCGCACTTTGTAATACCTGTCGTAATTTGTAATAAACCATGTCGCAGTTTGAAATAAAAAAGCTGTCGCAATTTGTAATACCAGTCCATTGCACTTTGTAATAAACTAAGCTGTCGCAATTTGTAATAATTCCATCGCACTTTGTAATAATTTTTTGAGCGTGATTCAACTTACACCGTCAACATTAATATAATGCCAAAATATGCGTGGTACTTCATAAACAAAGATGATGACGTCTGCTAGCACGTAACATCTCCGTTCATTCAAACCATTTAACTTTATTCACAGTTTTCTTTAAATTAATGTTGATTAGTTATCTGCTTCTCAATACTGACTATTGCTCACGAGCCGTGAGCCAGCGTCATTTTGGTGCAAAACGTGATAGCCCTCGTAATTCTACTAAGAGTTTTAAAAGTCGTAGTGGCGGGAACAGGTCATCAAACGTAAGAAGTTTTATCATTTTGCGATCGGAAGAGGGTTTAACCTTCTTTAGTATATAAATAACCCTACTAACTAAAAAAACTAAAATAAATCTTTCTGGGGTGTCTTTATTTAGAATACGCATTAGTATTCAGAATACGCATTAGCATCTCGT